CTCGAATATCCATATCGCAATGAATTCGATTGGATTTTGGACGACCACGCTCCCTCAATAAACTCGGATTTGGTACAATCGGAAGCCAATCTTGAACCTCATCAGGGTCTTTGTCATTACCTATGGGGGGAAACTCAAATTCGTATACCTTAAAAACTTCATATAGTAGGTATACGGGATCCATAAAATGGTTATAGTCTTGATGTGTATGCGAGCAAGCTGCTATCACATGAGAGCATGGATACTTCAGAGCTTGAAAAAACCCACAGTCGCACGTTCTGTCCCTTAGATTTACTCTTAATGACACAGCTTCAATCCCTTGAAGAGGTCGCGGTAACTCTGTGACACAAAACATTTCATGCCTTCTAGAGAAGCTTGGTACAGACATTCCATTTGATGCATCAATTTTTTTCTGTAGACCTGCAACTAATCTAGGGTGATAGACATGACCGCCTTGCATCCAGGTTTGAGCTTGTCCCTCGAGCTTTACAAAAAGTACCCCCAAACGAAAATATGTAGTTTTTACCAAAGCCACTACAGGTAAGTGACGTGCACCCTTTAAGGTTGAATTGATTGCCTCAGCCAAGTTGGTCGTCATGTGTCCATATTGATATCCACCATCATATGCGTTCGTCCACATTTCTTTATCGATGAGGCTAATGTAATCGTATCCTTCCTCGTTCTTCGCCTGTAAATCTTGAAGAATTGATTCAAACATTCGAGGAAGAAGTTCGTAACCTGATCAAAAAATGTATAACTTACTAACCTGATCAAAAGGATCGAAAGAAAACAAACTACATCAGTTTCACTTACCCATGCGCACAAGTAATTGGCGCTCATCATTCTTCTTGTATCTTCTATGGTAGTTCGCATCAATGTGTCGGAGATAATACCTATGTTGGACAAAGGGTGGTTGCCACATTGGACCTAAAGACTTCATTGCTGCATTGATCCCAGCTCTGCGATAAAAAATGACACATATTTTTTCCCTCGTGATAACATGTGCATGTAAATTTTGAAGGAAAAAAGCCCAAGAATCTGTATATTCTCCTTCGACAAGAGAAAAAGTAACTGGAAGAATGTTGCGATTTCCATCTTGGACAACTGCCAATAATAAAACTTGTTTGTATTTTCCATACAAGAAAGTCCCATCGATCTGGACCACAGGCTTGCAGTATTTGACAGCATCAACGTACTGTGGGTAAGTCCAAAAAAACCCGGTAGAATTGACATCAATCACGGAGAATTCGATCATTATGGTATGCATAGGAGGTTTCTAAGTCCACAATTGTCCCAGGATTCAACCTCCGCACCAGCCTAAACCAGCCTGGAAGTTCATTGTAAGATGCATCCCATTCGCCATAAAGTTTGACAATGTCATTTTGTTTTGCCAACCAAGCTTTTTTATAGGAGACAGTGTACCCATACCGCGATTGTATAGCTGAAATCAACACTGCAACAGCTATATGAGAGCTTATTTTTACTATGGGCATGATGGCTTGGCATATCACTTCAGAGTCCAAGTTGGGATGATCTTGGTTGACCCCTCCAGCACAACATGTGTGAGGACCGTTGTATACTGTTAGTTCCCATATGTTGTTTTCCTCTTCATTTTCGATACGCGAACCATCCATTTGCATCCGTTTTCGCGTCGGGCACAGTAGCATACATATTTTTCGGTCTTCGATCGGTTTACTCTAGACTGAATAGAATTACAGATATTGTAAATTTTTATAGCCATCACCGCTTCTTCTTTGCTTGAAAACTCCATGCCTAAAGATAACTCACCATTATTTATTAATGAGTAATATCTATAGTCACCGAGATGAGGCATATCCGCAAATTCTGGCCCGTACATTGCACCATAATCAGCTTCATACATGTGTGCAGGAGGGTCAGTTTGTGCCATATTTCCTGGAACTTCATCATCATCGGAGTTGAATTGCGGTGATTCGAGGTGAATGAATAGTCTAGTCTCAGCACCATCCGCACCAGGCTCACTAAGCGGTACTTCTGGTGGAGATGATTATTCCTCCATGCTCTCCACATTTAGGTCGAAGAACATACTACTTGCACGCCTTCCCCTTGAACTGGAAGGCATATCGACATTGAGATCGAAAAAGCTCGCAGTCGAATGCCTCCCCTGGAGTTTGAAGACATCTTGTCAAATGGAAACTGCACAGATGGTTGCGTCGATGGCATCTCTATATGGTCAAAGAAATTTACAGATGAATGCCTTCCCCTTGAACTGGACGCAGTGTTGCCATACGGATTGTTCGTGGACCCACCTCGGTACATATCGTAAGGAGTTGCGGATGAATGTCTCCCCATTATGGCATTAAAATCATTACACATTACTGTAGTCGGGCTGTCAACTTGATCAACTTGTTCAGTCAGCCCATAGTGGGAGCTTAATGATTGACCCCGAATAGCACGCACTTGAACAAAATGTGCATACATCTCAATAGCGGCGTCTGAATAATTACTTTGAGCTTCAACCATCATTTCAACATCATCATTGTTCGAAAGTTCGAAAGATGTATAAGTTAATGGCAACAATGATGTTGGAAATTTGTACTGCAACGACGACATTCTTCTACTACTTCCAACATGAATCTTCCTCGAAATCTTCGTTATCAGATCCTCAAGAGTTATGTTTCTCTTGAATGATATTTTAACACGCTCATTTGATACGAAAATAACGCCGGTTTCATCTTCTCGAATTTCACCATCATAATAAACAATAGCTGAAAGTCGTGCCATTCTTTGAGTTTAAAAGTGCGATAATATTATATCTGCAAAAAAATGAAACAAACCTGATTAAATAAATTATATATGAACGAAAATATAAAACAATAAATTTTTACACATCAACGTAAATAATTTAAATAATATAATTTTATATTATTACCTGCACCGTAAAACTATTTCGACGTATACTCTCGCTTTTTAATTTTACAAACATAAAAATTAATTAAAATTAATTAGTATAATATTTTTTCAAATAATCATAATAAATAATAAGTATAATAAAAAAATTATAACAAAATTACCTTATAACGAAAAATCGCACGAACTTCTAAACTAAATATGAGAAGATTGCCAAAATTATTGACTCGTTGATGGAATTATTGTATTAATTTATAAGTTGAGAGGAGAGATGTGAGGAACATAACCGGGGGAGAAGGGTATATATAGCCATACAAGGCGCAGTACCTGCACCGCGGTATATGTAATTATGGTATAGCGCGGATCAGGGCCCGCGCTAAATATAATTATCTAGATACACAGATATAGCGCGGTTCAGAGGGCGCGATATACCCCACGTGTAACCCAGTCTGCAAATAGCGCGGTGTAGGGGGCGCGCTATACCTCACGTGGCGCCAAATCAGCGTATAGCGCGGGTCAGGGGGCGCGCTTTACTGCTACTGGTGTTAGATCTGGAAATATAATTTGACCGGTGTTAGATCGGTAAATATACCGGTCACCAGTGATATTTCGGGAAAAACATCTCTTTTTACCTTTATAAATACTAAACTCCAATTCACTTCATTACGTTTGAAAGACTGTGGAAAATTATACTAATTAAAACAAAATTACTTATATAACAATAAAATTTTCCCAGTCGCAATAATTATATAATTTTTATTCTTTTATCATCATCGTCGTCGTCGTTATTTATGTTAGTATATATTAATATTTGGATAAATTACATCAGATCCTACTGAACTTTGGATGTTTTATTGTTTATATCATTGAAATTTCAATTTTTTCAATTATAACACTGAACTTTGATTTCCGTTTTAAGTTATACCATTGAATCGTTAAATCATTAACGGGACGATGACATGGTTGTCGACTGCCGACATGGTTGACGACTACAGACGAAGAACTCACCAAAACGTTGTCGTTTTGTTTTGACTGTTAACGATTTAACGGTCCAGTAGTATAATTAAAACGAAAATCAAAGTTCAGTGTTGTAATTGACAAAATTAAAAGTTTAGTGGTATAAACGATACAACACCTAAAGTTTTATGATATCTGGTGTAATTTACTCCTAATATTTTTATTTTGCAATAATTTATTTTAGGGTAAGCTATGCAGATAGTCCCGTACGTTTTCGGTTTGATTGACTTTGATTACCAATTTAAAAATTAATGGGGAACGGTCCCTAACATTATCCTCTGTTCGATTTTAGTCTCCCAGCCATTAATTTTCATTAACCCCCTTTTGTTTAAGTCCCTAACATGACTGAGTGACTAAAATCGAACTGGAGTTAACAGCTGAGAGACTAAAATCGAACGAATTGATAATGTTACGGACTATTCCCCTTAATTTTTAAATTTGTGACCAAAGTCGATTAAACAAAAAACATAAGAAACTGTCTGCATAATTTACCCCTAATTTTACTAAGTGGCCTGACCAGATGTACATATGTTATGTCACCATACGGCATCATGCAAACATCATGTATATACGAAGTCTCCCTTGAAGGAAGTAAGGGGTGGATCTAAAAATATTTTTTAAGGTAGGCAAATATATGTTAACAACATAAAATTTTTAAATGAGATTGATATAAATAAAATTTCAGTGTATGCACCATCTGTAAAATAAGTAACTAATCGAATAAAATTCATATTTCAAGATTGACAAAGAATTTCAGGATAGACAATATCAACAAAAATAAATAATTAATCTAAGAAAATTTGAATTTTAGAATGAACACGTGTACATTCTCTCCAACAAGCTGTGGCTCCGCCGTGGAACGATTAGTGAATAGCATAGAAAAGTGAAGAAATGGGATGGAAATTTCTCATGAAGACTAGCAAAGTGGAAAGGTGAGAAAGCAATAAATTATGATTCACTTATGAGGAAAAACTGTCCCTAATTAAAAAAGTTTGGGTGAAGCACTACACGCAAGACTATGAACAGTAAACTTTTGGACCTACAAATTGCGAGGGTTGGCAGCCCCAAGAACTTGTAATTTAAAAGATTTAAACCAAGGGATCAGATCAATCTCCATTATTGTGATGGGTGAAAAATATATGAGAGCTTTTCTGACGGCGGTGGCCATGATCCTGTGTCTTATCTCCGCCGTGCAAGCTATTCAAGGGAATGCTGTTTTCTATGGACCGCCGCCTTATCTTCGTGAGTATATATGTATATATATTAAATGAATTTTATTTTAAGATAAACTAGACATAATGTCATGGTTATATTTTTTCATTCATTATAGCGACGTGGATAAAACGACGTCATTTTAACATAATTATTAAAGTTTAAAACGACTTTATTTTAAACACTTAACTTTAAAGATATATCAATTTTGTCACTACAGTTTAAAAAGTTTAGTTTTTGACGCTAGACTTTTCAAGCTGCCATTGACAACCAATCACCGTTCATCAATGGTCGTATTTCATGGCAAGATCAATATCAAAATATTCGTATTTCACTCATCATCTTCTCCTAGGATTGGTTTTTCATGAAACTCTTTCAAAATCGACATGAATATATTTAAAGGTTCAACATGCTAAGACTGTGATCTCCTCCAAACGCCATTTGATGAGACTAGTTTTGAGGTATATTGATTATCTTCTCGAAATAATTCTTCTTACCGTTCATATTTCTAAACAAATATTCCAAACCCCTTGAATCTAAGAAAGCCCGTGAACCCCTAAAAATTGTATTTTTTGTTTAATTGCGTTGATTTTAAATGAATTTTGTGAAAAATTAATCCTAAAAAAGAATGAGTGAAATACGAGAGTTTTAATATCGTTCTTTTTCGTGTAAAATCGTATATTTTGTACTGATTTTGTAAATGTAGTTTAGACACAATCATCCATCATTGAATTATTTAACAGCTTCAGCATGCTATGGGAACCAAAGGAATGGAATAATGGTGGCCGGAGTCAGCGATGCGTTGTGGCAAAACGGAAGAGCATGCGGCAAGAGGTATAGAGTTAAATGCATAGGAGGAGCGAACAAAGCACCGCACCCTTGCAAGAATGGTAGAACTGTGGTGGTTAAAGTTGTCGACTACTGTAAAGCCGGATGCCAGGGGATCATCAACCTCTCTCGAGATGCTTTCTCGACCATCGCCGATCCCGACGCCGGTATAGTCCGAGTCGAACTTAACGAGTAAGTCCCGACTACTCTCTACTCCACCTGTTATACAAGTTTCAGGCATCATGTCCCTTAATATCATTTGCACGTTTTTCGCCTTTTTCTTATATGCAGGATTCGAGTTTGATGCTTCTACCTACTCAAAGTCAGATGATGTTAATCGAATAAAGATATCTTCTTGTGAGTTTACTTGTTATTTTCCTATATTTTACTTTATCAAATGAATAAAACTATGTGCTTGATGATGTATTGTTAGGAATTTGTGAGCGGAAAAATAGACGAGCGTCAGAACCAAAACTTGTAATAACAAAGAACAGCGAGCAATATAAAAGAACCAAGTTTTTGCTGAAAATGTTATGCCCTTATTTGAGTATATTTAAAAACATTAATTCTTAGACTTGTCGTTTTCGATGGTTAAATCTAAGAGTTTTAAATAACAAGACGTTCGATAAACTGTTCGTGAACCATTCGTATGACGTTTAATTATGTTTTATTATCAAGTTGAAAGAACAAGTATGAACAAATTTTTTTATATTTATTTAGTAAACGAATGAAGATGAATAGAGACGTGTTCGGTTCACTTATGTTGATGAACAGACCGGTTTAAAAGTTTTTTTATCTACTCGTTTATCCGAGACTCCTCCTCCTATCAATTTTTTGCATTTTAAATACCGATGAAGGTATTAAATTGAACACATTGAACTTTGAAGTTCAAACTGTGAGACTAAAGGATCTTAAGGACTGATGACATAATTTCTCTATTTTGGCGAATATAATCGCCAACGCTGAAAGAACTAAACACAAACACCTTAAAAAATAAATAAGTAAACATGATATAAAAAATTTAAACAAATACGAACCGAAAATAAATACCTTAAAAATATACTGAAGTGATTTCAAGGTAATATTTGTTCAGAACTTTCTTAACTCATTCACATATATCCTACAAACAAAGATGCTCGAAACTCGGACCCGAAGTGAATGCAAAGCTTAAACTGAGGCTTCATTTTAAAACAACTGGTAAAATATGCCCTTTGCATTTACACGACCAGGAATCATTATCAACATGAAGTTTCACTTACAATTATGGGCAAAATTAGAGGGGGGCCAATCCACCTTTCCGGATAGAAAGAAAAAAGAACGTAAGAGAAGATCACTAGAAAATATCAGCATGCATTGCCTGTAGTTACACATTGATTGAGTGTTGAGAACCATGACCTTCTGCCCTCCCAAACCGAGCGTCTTAAGACTTGCAAATTCCGGTCCGACGGGAAGGGAACTAAAGGACTAGCGTTCGGAGCTCCGATGCAGAGGTTAGATTGGATCTTCATCGACGGGTAACTATTACGACTTATGCTGCAGAACGATGATCCAGGAGGAGAAATTCGTGCGCAATGGACCGTTGGCTTGCAGAGCAGGGTTGTCATTGAAGTTGGCTCCGGCATCTCACTGGAACATGTGCAGAAAGATAGGGACAGACTTGTTCTTCCAACTGCCTTAACCGTTGGCTTCGTTCCACGGAGCCTGACAAATGATACTATTCCGTGACGGCAAAGAGGACAGGCGATTGAGCCAATTGGACCATTGGCTACATTTGTGGTGTTACTTGTAGAACAGAGGTACAAGGCACATTGTGTGCAGAACTCATGATCACAACCTGCACCATAGGCAATATAACTCATGATCCCATAAACAACAATGACAAACACGATTAAAATTGCACAGACTACATTGATAGCAGCGACTAAAACTGAAATAAATACGGTCTGGCAGGATGCGTTACACGGAACGATTAAGTTACCTCCTGCAGCTACTGTACATTGCCTGTCCAGACATACAGCACAAGGATCTTGGCATGAGAACAAGGAATCATCAGTCCTCCATCCACACTCTCTTCATAAGGCAAAGTAGGGTGAAAAGGTTTAGCTCATATGATAAACTCGCTTTTAGCAGAAAAATGGTTGGTGAGATCCGGTAGCCATCATGTTCGTAAAGTATTAACTATTACCCGCTTTTACTCACAAATGCATGTCCATACCATACGTATATCCACTTTTCGGTGTATATATTTCTATGAATATCTACGCAATTGTTGATACAAACTTTTGACAAAAACAAAGCTGAATTATCCCATGTCGTTTTATTCTCTAGGTAATTGCGAACAGAAGAAATTTTATGTTGTTTATTCCAGTGTTCGAGTTAATTGAACAGCACGGCAAGAAACTATAAAAAAACGATTAGTCGATGAGAACAAAGAGCATAATCCTCTGCTCTCTGGTTTTATCTCTGTTTCCAACTAAGTTTGCAAACTCCAATCTAATGTGCTAAAAAATTAACAAATTGCGGTCCTATAAAGATGATAGAAGTTCATAGATCAACAAATAAACACGCGAAACTAATACTCTACAACGTTAAACAAAAGTCTATAGCTCCGAGAACTGATGAAATGGCATAAACAGATTTCACTCACCTAGCAATTTTAATAATGCTCATAAGGGGAAGAGACAGAAAGGGTGAAGGAAGAGCTTGCGACTGGCCTTCAGGCTGATTGCTAAGGATTTCCTCAAGCCAATTTTTACGCCATGAACGGGCGACCATTAAAGGACTCCACCTTGAGGTAATAATTGAAAAACAATAATCAGTCGCAACTGCTAACTCATAAAGACAGGGTTTAGAAAAGAAATAACAAGATTTCGACTGAACTGCCATTTTTTCCACCGAATTATATGAAAAAATTTCCACCATGCGATAGTTGATATGATGTAGTCACAACATGACAGGGTTAAACCTTAAGACATTACAAAGTATATGCTATAAATCGGATTAAATATGGCATTATGCCTTTGTAAAAAGTAAATCGAGATGGCAATATATAGCCGCGTGTGCTAAAGGACTTTGTGCATTAAACTACCCGCACTTATAAAGGCGGCATATTTAGTATAATTTTTATTCTAACTTCTTGCTCTTGAAATGCAAAAACATATCGTTAATAAAGCATTTTAGCAGAAGATACAACTCAAACTTTAAACCTAAAAAGAGAAGGAAAAAAAAGATTTTTTCCCCCAAAATGAAGATACCATTGCTAAAGTAACATTGAAGCATAGCATTTAAACATAATAGGATTCACATTAACATACCCGTTCACGTTTGTGGCAGTAATACTGGCACCCCTGGCGATCAAAATCTGAAGCATCATACATCAAAATTATAAATAGGTAGTTGTAAAAATAAATAAAGCATGAGTGACATTGATACATGATTTAGTTTCTTCTCATTCCCTTTTTCCCCGGCATTTGGGTGGTTGTGATGCTGCGCAAAGCTAAGACATACCTGACAACATTGTGCATTTCCACCACAAGCAGCATAGTGAAGAGCAGTGCTCCCTGCACCTGCAAGGTAACAAACGTAACGAGGCCATTATTTTAGGAGAAAAATAAAGAGATCAAAAAGGGGAAAAAAGGATTGCAGGAGAGACGCAATACTAGTTCAACAGCATTTGAATTCTTCACTAACATTCTAAATGAATCACCTAAGAGGCCCTCGTGTCTGGCCGGATTGTAAAGGCTTTACTAATGAACATAAAGACGACAGGATAATGAAAAGAAAATATGGTCTGCAGATACAAAGCCTTTAGAAAAGGAGATGTGTGGGGTGAACGGGGGACTTCTAGCCATTTATGGATGTGAAACTAAGAGCTTCCAGTATTTATGGACAATTTCTTATCAGGTAGGCAGAAGCGTACCGAAATGCGAATAGAAGGGAATCCACATATATACCGTAATTCAGATGTACATTGGCGGCTTGCAAAAACAAGAGAGACAAAATCAAACAGAAGGGGAAAAGGAAGAACAATTGAAGTCCAACAATTATTGAAAATAGAAAACTGAGGCATGAGAAAAGTGCAATGCAGAATTAATCCGATAAAAAATATGTTTTTTTTCCTGTTATTGCTCAATAACAAATAGCTGCAAAACCAATAGACTGTGAATCAAGCAAGGACTTTCAAACTAGCACATTTAAAATTCTGATTACCTATTAGATCAATCGTCGTTCCATCTTCCACAGTGACCTCAGTAACAGAAGCTCCCAAATCTAGGAGCAACTGAACACTTTCAACATGCCCATTCAACGCTGCCATATGAAGAGCAGTGACACCTCCATCAGCAGGTTTATTAATGACCTCGCGAAGAGCACTGGAAGATCAATATGAAACGCGAATGAATGAAAACAGAAAAGTAGACATGAGAAATAATAAAGAGGATTAACATAATTTACCCATCATCAAAAACTGAAGTTGATTCTTTATTTTCTGATTCATTCGACAATATCTTCCAGCAGTCGGGTATGCTAGGTATATAATCCGCAAGGAGGAGCCTTATGCAACGGGAATGACCATTCAAGGCAGCCAAGTGGAGTGCAGTACCCCCATTAAGATAATCTGCTTTGTGAATCTAACAACCATTGCAGCACAAACTTCACTTGTTATGATATCACTCAAGTTCGAAAACTATACAGATCTATTGCAATAAATGAAACTAAACTTAAAAGTAAAAATCTTACATTGGCCCCGAAAAGAATCAGAGCTTGAACAACCTCCCAGTGGCCATATTGGCAAGCTTGCATCAGAGCAGTCTGTAGTGCACAATTAAAACAAACAATATAACCCATTGTTGATAATTAGTTGGTGTTTAAGCGATGAAAACCGGATTCAAATTACCTGACCCCGATAGTTTCTGAGATTGATATAGACACCAGACTCGAGCAAGAGCGAAACTATCTGATAAAAAAACGAACACCAATATGATTAATTTGAAAGAAACAATTGCAGGCTGGAATTAAGGAATTGAATACCTCATGGTGGCCCTGAGCAGCAGAGTAATGGAGAGGCGAATTTCGAGCACCAAAAGTCGAATATCTTGCAAGCCTAGGATTGTATTCCAATAAAGCCTTGGCTTCTTGAAGATCCCCATCTCTTGCTGCGGAAACCAAGCGTTCCCCAGATGCAGAACATCCAAAGGAGTTCCCAACAATGCTTAGAAATCTCATATTGTTATTAATGCCTTGAAAACTGGTGGCCAAAGACAAAAATCTCCCCTAAACCATAATCCTCAAACCACTAAAAACAAGAAAAACAGACCAAACCAACAACAAAGAAGACATCAAAAACACATCTTACGGTCAATGTTTCACTCCCTTAAATGGATTGCCATCAGAAGAAGAACTTTGCCTGCAACTACTTGAAAAAAAAAGGATCAGGATGTGACTGTTTTATGGATTAGTATGCTGCCTCGTGTTCTTCAAGGAAGACTCAACAAACATAAAATTACAAATTCTTCCGATTGAAAGAAGAAATTAAAGATTCCTATCAGTCACAGTCAAATCCCTATCGGCTAAACAGTCAAATAGAATTATCGCCGCTAACAAATACCCGTCTCCATATTCATCAGGGTGAAACGAAATCTGCAAAACCCAATTCCGGAAACTCTTTAAAGAATCGGAATTTGAAATACCCTGATCAAAACATCTTTTTGAGGGAACGGCTGATCAAAGTTGAAGCCTTAAAAAAAAGGATTCGACCAAATGGAACACACGTTTGTACTTAAATGTGGAAGAGTGGGATTGGGATCAAATGTAACGGAGACAGAAATTTGCTATAAAAACAGTCTGTTTTTATGAAGATAGCAACCTCAACCACCAAATTGACAAAATTTTATATATAAATAAAGATAAAAGTACACAAATGCTCATCTATTATAGAATTGTTTTGCTTTGTTGTTGAGTATATTATTATTAAAAATTATAAAATAATACATAATTATAAGACTTTTTGTTGACTTCCCGGTTATTAAAATTTACAAAAAAATCATTCGATTATTCATATGTTCTAAATTTATTCATTTTCATTAAAAAAAAATTCGGTTTTTTAACTTGTACGTTAACATCTTGATTAGGATTTGATAAAATATGAACCAAAATTGTTTGAGATGTATTTTATGGATAAATTATCCTTTATATTATGATATCAAGCCAATGCTTGAAATATTTTACTGTCTAGTAAGTGTCTGAAGCAATGACGGTGCCAATAAATATCATTAAAATATGATTTTATCTTAACTCAATCAATCGTTAATTCGGTTAATTCGGTTAACCGACTGAACCAAATTACCCAAATTTCATTAACCAAAATTTTCCCCTCTAACCGTTAATCGAACTGATTTTTTCAAAAAAATTAACCGAACCGAACAAAATTTGGTTAATTGATCAGTTAACCTAATTAATCAAAATTTATAAATAATATATATTATATATTAAATATTTTTTGTTTTATCTAGTTAATTCGGTTAAAATCGAAGTGTAAACACCCCTAAAACTATATAATATATTAAATATTTAACAATTTCGGTTAATTCGATTAATTAACCAATTTCGAACCGAATTAACCAAAACTTAAATTTGAAAAAAAAAACCATTAGTCATTAACCGGCCCAACCCAAAATTAACAGTGTGATGTCAACTTTAAAACGTAATGCAACCCAAGTATATACGAGAAATGCTTTTTCTACACTATGCAAAGAAATGACATACGATGGTTATTATTTGGTTAAAAATAAGTATGGAATTCGGGCATGTGTTATTGGTTAGAGCATGTTGAGAAGGAGAAGTTGTATCATGTATTGAAAGATACCACACATGATACCATGTACTGTTGTTGTATGAAGTTGGAGTCTGTTGGCTTTCCATGTCGTCATATATTTGCAGTGTTGAAATATGAAAAGGCAAAAAAGATACCTCATGGATGTATAATTCAACGATGGACTATTTATGTGAATAAAGATGTTGGATTAGAAAATAGGAATGCAAATTTTGAGGATAATAATCCAACAAAAATCAAGCCATGTACTCGACTCTAGCCTCTTATTGTATGACTATATGTCAACGTGCGTCACAAACATTCAAAACTTTCAATGAGGTAAAAGATCAATTTGTAAAATTGATTCTTAAATTGCAAACGATGAAAGCGAGATGTAAAAAAAAAGAACCGGTACAAACGGAGAGCCTATTGGAATAGGCGACCTGTAGTTCTTAAAACAGGAAGAGGAAAACCCAAGAGAACAAAGCGTCAAGCTTCATCTTCTAACCAAATACATGTTTCATATGATAAAGATGTCAAGTTCGACTTGTATAAAACCATTGGATCATCTCCGAACAAGCCTTCTGATCAGGATACGAGGCATACTGATGCACCTGAAAGATCAATATTAGCCAGATATGTTCTCGACACATATAAAAAATATGACATATCTGAGGTAACTAAATGTGAAATATAGTAGTGAATACTCTTTGTTGTTATGAATGTTGATAATTTTTATTTCGCATGCTGCATATACTAATGAATTGAGAATTATGGTAAAAGATCCAACTATTTTGGATTGGCAACCTAAGAAGGATTGGTAGTGTGTTGTCTATATCTGAGGTAATTACATATGAAATAATAATATAATAGTCTTTCTTGTTATGTATATTTAAAGTTAAGAATTAGTTTTATTAGTGAAGTAAATCATTTTCTTAAATAAACGTGTTATTTTTTGTTGCGATTACTAATTTTATAATTTTTTTACTCTCATGATAACAAGGCTTCGTCTTATTTCATGACGGATTATGGTTGCAGTTGTCATTTTCTGTATCCGCCGGGAGATAAATTTTAGTTATGTTATTCTCCAGATCCGCATGCAGTGACATTGCACGAAATTCTTTTAAGTTTAATATTTAAGATTTCGGATTTTATGAAGTTGGTTTTAATATTTGAAATTACAATTTATGATGTTTTGTAATAAACATAAGCATATTTAAGACTACTTGCAATTGAATTTACAACGTTTTGTGTTTGTGTTTTTGCTGCGATAATCAAGCTCGACAACATAAAATTTAAATTTTGAACAAGTACATTCGAAATCTAGTGTTTAATTACGGTATCATTACACATACGGTATCGAAACTCTTGGCAAGCCTTGAAAATCCAAGAAGCATAGTAAGTATCGATACCATTTAGGTATCAGTACCATGTAATTAAATTCATATTACAGTATAGAATCGTGGTATCGATACATATCGATACATCTATAGTATCGATACTCGTGGGAAGCCTCAAAAATCCAAAAAGCATTTTATGTATCGATACCGTTGTGGTATCGATACCATATAATTTAACTCATTGTCCAATTTAGAATCCAGGTATCGATAAGGTTTATTTATAACTAATTCCAGTGGGTTATGCCAATACTGATACAGAAGGTGTACCGGTACATTTTAAATTAGCATATTGGTACTCGGTCTTTACAGTACCTGTATGCACTGGCATTTCACCTATAAATACCTCCTTATTCGATTTTCCCCCAAAACATATCAACCCTAACCCTAACAACACCAGTTACTCTAAAAAATCCACATATTATTCACTCAAAAATAAAAATCCTTCACCATTTTTGCAAGGCTTTAAAGGGATTTCATCTCCAAACAATGAATCGTGCATACCCATCACATCTTTGTCGTTTTCCCAAGGTATTATTATTTTTATTTAATTTTCTTCACTAAGTTATTTTTAATAGTTTTTTATTCTTGAGTGAATTTTTATAGGTTTATATGGTTTAGGGCTTAGGCTGAATATTTAATTTTAATTTTATTGAATATAATATTCGGGTGTAGGTTTTTTACATCTAGACTTAAAATCTGAAATGGTCTAAAAATTGATGATTATTTGTACAATTTATATTGTTTTTTACGGGAATTTGATTTCAAAATGACACCAAAATCAAAACTTACAATTAAATGTCGTCGTTTAGACAACCCGTCTTCGAGTCGGTCGGTAAACGAACCTCAACCTCGACCCATTTTATCAAGTTCTTTTGATGCATGTTTTAACTAACCCGGATACATAAACCAGAGCTCAAATTTTGACTTTTTCAAGAATTTTATTGTTAGGGATCAGCGTATCGTTGATTATGAATTTTTGTCTGATCCCAATTTTAAATTCCCCTACCTATGTCTTATAAGGCGTTGGAATTTTTTCCAACACTCGTTGCATTATTGATGAACCTAGTAACATTGTTATTGCCGTATAGTCTTATCTTATGGGAAAAACCTTTATACTAGACACCGAAATAATTGCTAGTCACATAGGTCTTTGTGATGAGAATCAAAGTATTCCTGGATCTCCACCCACCGGCTCTGTTACTTGCCTAAATGCCCATGATCGCTTTCTCCGTTTTCTTATCACTTTGTGGTTTGCCACTTTGGATTATTTTAGATTGGATATGTTGAAATATTTTTTTTATATTTATGGTCCTTGAAATACTATTTTGAAAAATGTTCAACTTTATATGCATTCGGCTTGAATTTGATTGAAATTTGATTTTTTATTAATAAAATTTATTTTAGTTAGATATAAATTTTCATGTGTTATTCGACTAAAAAATGTGACCAAAAAAGAAAGTGGAACAACATGAGATAAATGCTTAGAAACTAGTCATCATTCATCGTTTTTATTTTTTATTATTTCATAATGATGACAAATTAACCAAATTTCAATTAGGATAGCATAACGTCAAGTCGCGTATACATTTAGGGTATCGATACACAGACGATCGCTATGGGTGTACAAACTTGAAAACCCAAGAATCTTCGATGTAATTCAATAGTTTATCCAATATGGAAGTATAGTATCGATACATTAAAGGTATCGATACATTGGATGTAACAGTAATCCAGTGTTATATGCCAATATCGATATTGGTTGGGTATCGGCACAACTTAGCTTCTAGGTATCGATACATTAAAGGTATCGATACATTTGATGTAACTTGTAATCCAGTGTTATATGCCAGTATCGATAATGGTGATATACCAATATAGATTAGCTTCTATGGGGTCTTACGAGGTTTTTTTAGTTTAGTTGTTAATTGTTAATCAAGTTTACAGATTCAACACATATTCTTATGAAGAATTTAATGCTCCACTTTTGGAATAAAAAAATCATAAGACGAATAATCATACTAAAATGTGTCATGCTTTGAAAAATCTGATACACCGCCATTATTCTCCATTATTCAACATTGAATAAACTATATTAAAAATTGAAAATCCCATAACTTGTTAATCATGTAAATGCAATTTACGCAAATCAAAAAGATCAACTTCATTGTGTTTGCTTGCGACAAGTTTTGCCAAAATTCTCAGTTGTTCAACTCTCATTTGTTGCATCTACATAATAATTTATAATGTCATTCAATATCACACAATAGTTAAACAAAACTATAGGATATACTTTACCATTAAACTAATCTTCGACTAATCGTCTTTGCTATTGACTTCTATACTTCAATACGTACATGCCACAATCATCTCTGGATCCAAAATGAAATAAAATAATTTATTACAAAGAAATACATAGTCCAAAAAATAGTAACTTTAATTTTAAATGTAAATGACGTACGAATTTGGCTGCTTCGGTAATCCAATAAAATAGATTTAAAATTTGGAAACATTTTCAAATCATCTACCCAAATGAGCATACTCTTATAGATATGCAGAGCTTCACGCAACTGTTACAATAAGTCAAAATTTATAAATATATATTTGAAAACTACACGAATTCTATTAATTTTCATAAACAATTTACAATATTTTTACGAATTTCATTGACGCCAAGAAAGTCCAAAACAAAAGTATGTCACTCCACAACATCAACAACTAATAAAAACCAATGGCGACATGCTTCATCATGTAAAGGCACATATACCTGCAAAATCATGTAAGGTAAAAAGCACAATCAACCACATACAAGCAAATAAAAAATTTTAAATATAAATATACATGTTTAACATAACTACTATCAATAGGCATAAAGTCGTCTATCCAATGGGTATGAAATTTGAAAAGGGTAATATTTCTTCCCGTCTTTTGAGCATGTGCGACATATTTGGTAAGGATACTCTGAGACAAGCATTAAATATAAGTGTCAAGAAAGCATAAACTTTAAATTATCCGATCTCTATCCCATAAATTAATTTTTAAATGAAAAGACATAGGCAAATATAACTTCTTTTGCGTAGGCACATCTCTTAAGTGCAAATCGTACACATACATATCCATAAACTATTAATTATTTAAAAACAATACAAACAATTGAATTAAAAACAGACAAAATAATGAATATTAATCATGTATAATAACAGTAAAAAATTAAATTGTAATACCCAATAAGATAACATTTTTTTGGAAAAACAGTACGAGAATTACCGATGTCCAAATGATTACTCTTGGCCATGTAAACAGTTTTAGATGTATGCTTCCAAGAAGCAACATTTGTACAAATTTTGCGTTCTTCAGACGTTAAAAACTCCAAATATTGCATGTACACATCATTATCGTCGCAATTTCTTTTTTTGGAACATTTTGCTGACAAATTATATAGCTTATATTTATACTGTATGAAATACATAACTCTTACAAACATTTTTACAATATTAAACTCAAACTTTAACATAAAATATATCCAAAAAAGAATGATTTATACATACCTTGGTATTCGCTTTAGATGTTCTAGCTCTTTTTTTCTATGCCACATCTTTCGACTTCGGATCATCAGTAAAATCTAACCGTGCGGTCGAACACCTCATACTTTTTCTCTGTTGAGACCCATTAATCTTTGACAATGTTGTAGGACCGATAGACATTTTAGGATCAACTTTTTAACCATTGGAGTTTCCTACAACGTAGGAAATCGATTGTGACTAAATTGAAAGTTAAAAACCTCCACCGGAATTTTTGGAAAACATTCACTATCAGTCTTGTTGTTGTCTTCAGAGTTAACATAAAGTTTCCTTTTGCCACTAGGATCTAATGAGGGAGAAAGATAATCACAATCAAAATTAATAAAAGGAGACAAACTCGGTTTTTTAAAACCACTCTCGGTTTGATATTTCAATGGTGCGATACTTAATCATTGTACCATGTCTGATTTTTTTTAAAAACTCTCATCTTTCAATGGAATGCTATGTGAATTCGTCACTTATGATCTATTATTTAAAGCATCCTCCTTTAATGATTGACTACGCATACCTTCTCCTTTTACTGAATCACCATCATGTATTGAACTTTAACATTACTCGGTGTTAATATACTCACTAATTTTTCAAATTGGCCATTTAATATTTCAAATTATCCTTTTAAATTTTCAAACTGGACATGCATTATAGCAAATTCCTTTTCAATTTTTTTGCACTGAATGAATGAGTGTCTCGAACTTATGATCACTCAAACAAGAAGTTCTAATATTTTCATTGTTAACAACTTCAATTTTTTTCTATATGTACATAAAACACAAAAATAAAAAATAATCTTAAAAAATACACCGACAAAACAAATGCATCAGTAATATTAAAAATTCAGTTACTTATAATGAATGTACCTCATTTTTGGTCTTCTTCGAACTCATGTCGATACAACGCTTACACTCCATAATCTTAACTTGTTTTGAGGGTGTTAAGTTTATATCCATCATTTACGGTTACAAAATAAATTATAAGCTAAATCATGCGAATTATACGTACCGTACCGATACACAACATGAGTGTATCGATACACGACATTTAATTTAAAAAACAACTCTCAATTAAGGTACCGATACTCTATTGCCTGAGTATCGGTACACATTGTAGGTGTACTGATATGCCCTACACGAATTGTAAATTGGGAATTGGATTGAAATAAATCGGTTTCAACGAGAAAATTAAGGATCAATTGTTTAAATTAGGGTTCTAGAAAGGGAAATTTGGAAACCAATTAAGGAATTCGGGTTATATAATTGGAGGAATTTTAAAATTAGGGTTAAGGTTAGGGTTTAGGAAATATATGATTGAGGAAAAATAATTAGAGGGGGAATTCTCATGCCGTCAAACGCGGCCACTGTCGGTGAAAGCTCTGATAGCCGGTCAGCCATCACCCTTCGGTGACGGCTTAGATGAAAAACAAAATTTGAATCAAAATAAAAGTAATCTAACTTACCTTAACGAGTTGTTTGCACAAACAACGGTGACGACAATGATTCAATCGAAGGAGGAAGACGAAACCGACGGCAAGGGCAGCGACGTTATTGTGATTTATTTAAAATTGCGATTACATTTTTAACTACAATATAATTATACAATTTAATTTATTGGTTCTCGTCGTTATTGGCGCTCGTCGAGCGCAAAAATTATTGGGTTAAGATATTAGTTGTTATCTCTTGAGATTCTGCTTTCTAGCACTACAAATGTTAAGAGTATGAACGTTTATTGTCAAATGATTGAGAATCTTTGAACATATATGATTATATATTTACCTTTAACAATGTACACACATTGTGCAAACATAATTACACGAACTTAAAACCTTTTAGAATAATAATATTTTTTATCGTTAAGATGACTTTTTTTATCGTTAAGACGACTTGATATATTGAGTTGAAATGTCAAATTTAAAATTGAAGAGGAATGTAGTCCACATAAATAGAGTTGTAAACGATGTTCGGTGTGACAAATAATGATAGAAAAGGGCGCCCCAATAGCTCCCGTGACCTTAATAAACATCACCCCTATCAATGTCTAGTTTCCCTCTAATCGCTGCCAACTTTTGCATATTGTTTTTTATCATTTTTCTTTCATAAAAGAGTAAATTACATCTCAGGTCATTCAATTATTAATTCAATTACAAATGAATCATATTTTTAAAGGTTATAGTTTAGTCACTCAGTCAAAATATTAGTACAAGCAAGTTATTCAATTGTTAAATTTGAATCGAATGTCTAACGTAACCTGATATAATAATGGTTTTATACATAAAAATTATGCATTTTATAGTCCTAATTCGATAGAATTCAATAAATTAATCTTTCATGTGAAGAGTTAAATTTATCAAATTAAGACTAAATTGATAGTATCATAAAATATTAAATTAATAGATTTTTAAAATATGAAGAGTTAGATTTATTAAATTAAGACTAAATTGATATGACATATAAATTGTAAGGATCAAAATTATTAACTAATGTCACACTAGACATTCATTTCAATTTCGATGACAGATGATCTATTTATAATAATATTTTAATTAAAAAAATTAAATCATAACTTTAAGGGAAAAAAAGAAAAATGTTTATAATAGAATTAATAATTGATTGATCTTAGATGAAATTTTACCATTTAAAAAGGATAAATTATACATTTAAGACCTAAACTATCAATTTTGATCCATTTTAATACTTAAACTTTTAATTTTTTTCAAAATCATACCTAACATTTAATTTTTGTTTCATTTTGGCACACTTCGTTAAAAAGTTAACAATTTTAGTACCTAAACTATCAATTTGATCCGTTTTAGTACCTAAACTTTTAATTTTTTTAAAATTTAACGTTAAATTTTGAGCATGAGTGCTAAAATGAAATAAAAATTAAACTTTAGGTATGATTTTAAAAAAATTAAAAATTAAGCATTAAAACATATCAAAACTAATAGTTTAGATACTAAAAAGGATAATTTACTCATTTAAAAAGACCATATTAAATGCAGTCTGTAACGTAGACGTACCAGCCTTTGGGCAATTTTCTGTCGGTAAGCTTTCAAATTGAATGCAAAATGAAAGAGAGTTCAAATTCAATTTGGATTTCCCACCACTCACTTACCATCATCATTAATTGTTCCATGTTTAAACATTCCATGTTCATGAATCAAAAACTCCATTTTGTTCTTCCATGTTCTGAATCAAACTCAGAAAAAAATCTAATAACAAAACCAGAAATGTATGTAAACCTTAATTTGCTCTGCAAGAAGTTGGAATCTGAACCCAGAAACAACAAAAAATGATGACCCGATTTGGACAAGTAAAATGAAAAAAAGATTTCTTTCACTATGACCAAATTTTCCAGCTACAAGATTTTCCCAGGAAAATGAGAGAGAAACTAAACGTTTGGTGTAAAAGATGAGTGAACAACCTTGTTTTGTTTCCCAGCTAGCCAAAGCAATGTCCTCCTTGCAAAAGACGGTGTTCTCTGGTTTTCCTCTTCCAAACCCAATTCGCTCACTCCATCTTTCCACCGCCCGGAGCCTATTTCACCGCCGTTAGCACCACCAACATGGCGGTGCTCGGGTAATCGAAATGAAAAGGTCCTCCTTGATGATTCGGCTTTCCTTCCCCGGAGCCAAATTTTCGATACCGAAAAGCTTTCCTTCTTGCTCGTATCGATACGCTCGCCGTTGTTGTCACTGCCGTTGCTCGTGATTTCGAAACGACTCGACTCGAAATCGTATTCGGAGATCGCGGGGCGGTGTCCCGGTGTCAACGGCAAACGAGTCTTCTTCTTCCTCGACGGTTTCTTCATCGGAGTTCGTATCGGAACTTGCAACAGAGAATTCTCGTCCATTACATACTCAAATGACCCCATGGAAAAACATCTTCTATCATCAACATTTCCATTATCACTACCTTCGCCATTACCATCAACGTTCCTAAACTTCCCTAGCCTAACAGGCACAACTTTTCCCCCAGAATCCATCACTGTTTCATCGTCAACTTCATTATTCTCGACGATTTCACTCACAATCTCCCTCGAGCTCTCACTCCCAGATTCAAGCACAAGAACAACGGGCGAACAAGCGTTGCCCGGAGAGAAATCAGGGATTAAGTTAGCTCTACACAGAGGGCACGTCGAATGAGACAAGAGCCAAGTATCGATACACTCCATGTGAAAAGCATGGCTGCATTTTGGAATCAATCTGAGCTTGTCTTCAAGCTCGAACTCACACAAGCAAACGGCACAATCGAAGGGATTCTTCACACCTATAATGGCTTTGTAGTGGAACACAGGGAGAGTATCGATGAACGATTGGTCGACGCCGGCATCGTGGAGATGGAACAGCTGTTGTAACTGTCCTTGAACAGCCGTCACATTGTCTGAATCTTCCGGTTCTCTATTTGGAGGTCTCATGAGGAATCTAACCAAGAGGTGAAGCAAACCGGAGACAAAGAAGATGATGGCTAGGATTATGATGATGAGTAATATGCTCGGACTTACCTTGTTGCTCAAGTTGAAACTACCGGAGTTCAAGTTCTGGGGTGGTAGAGGGAGGTAATACGGCTGCTCCGATGGAGAAAGCAAGCTTCTTCGCTTCATTTCATGGGAAATCAACTCCATTGTTGTTGCTGGATACAAGTTACCGAGATTGAAACTCTAAACTTGAATCAAATGCTACAAAAAATCCCATCTGGGATTTCCAGAAAAATCATAATAGCTTCAAGTCAAAAGGAAGAGATGCAGTGAGAGATAGAGAGAAGAGTTGAATATAATATTAATGGAGAAAATAAATGATTCTATATCCCATTGCGTAAATTCTGCAAAGTCATAAAATTTTGGGTAAATTACACCCAAGGTCATTTAATTATGGACTTGATAATAAATGTCACTTTTTTATTTTTATCTTTTTTGAATAGTCTGAGGTGATTAAAATGTAGTATATGTTTATAACTTAAGTTATAGACTATGCGCATGCATCTTATAGACGTAGCTTTTCCGGGTCTAAATATGTCGCTCCATCGTTAAATATTAAATGGAATAGTGACGTGATCATAATAACAATTTTAAACTTTAAAACCTATACACTTATTAATTTGGTCATATATGAAGGAATTCAATAAATTTTATCCTTCATATTTATTATTTTCATCATTTTAGTCTTTATTCTTCTTCCAAAAAAATTATATTACTTTTCTTTTAATTTCTTGGTATAATGATAGTTTAACAATAATTTTTTTTTTGTAGAATTCAGTTATTCAACTACTAGTTTAATCCAATGAGCTTGCTTGGTTTGACAGTATCGTAAAAAGAAGATTAGATTGATGAAATTTTTAAACATGAAGAGTTAAATTTATCGAATTATTTTGAACTAAGAAAAAAGTTGATAAGTTTTAGGGACTAAAAGTATTATTAAATCAAATCACATTAGATGCTCATTCTATTTTTAACGAAGGAGCGATATGCTTATAATAATATTTTAATTGAGTGACATTTTTTATTAATATGAGATAAGTTTAAGACAATATATGTTTAAAGATAACTCTTAACCATTTGATATTAAATGCTCATACCCTCGCATTTTTGGTGCTTTAATTAAGTGACCTTGGGTTGAATTTACCCTAAAACTTTCGGTATGCATAAGGTTGAAAGAGGAGACTTTTGTTCAAAGATTTCGTCAATTACAAGGCACTTGTTCAGGGTTGACTTGATGATGCATCAGACCCGATGCATGCCCCATTTCCTAAGGGGAAAAATCAGTAAAATGAACAAGAAAACCACAATTATATTGCCTGTTTTATTCTATTTGGATTATTTTATTTCTGGGAAAATGAGCTTTGTATTGTTTTAGTAGCATTGTTTCTTTCTTTCTGGTCCCATTCTTTGGACAGACCCTTCTATTCCAATCTGATCGTTTGGTAGCTTTGTATATTAATCAAGTGGGAAGTGCCAAATGTTACCACTTTCCTCCCTTCTCGGTAAAGACAAGTGAAGTATGTGTTTCATGTAAAAATAGGGATCGCAAACGGGCGGGTCGGATGCGGATACCTACTTTCCCATCCCTATACCCACCTAATATTTTTTAATCTACCACCTGCCCATCACTCACGATGGGTACAAATTTTCAAATCCACACCCGCCCACGCGGGTACATTTTCAAATCCATCTTCCACACCCACTACCCACTAGTGACATACCCATCTAGACCTACCTGACAGCAAACTAATGGGATGTTGGAGTTGGTTCCCAGACAGTTCGTGATGGAGTAGCAACGCATGCTTCAATTTGTCAGAGGAGTGGCTCTACGAATGTTATGGAAACAGATTGTAGGGAGCATGTAGTCGCAGAGCTGGATTGTTGAGTTGCTTTCGATGTTAATGCTCATAGTGCACCTAATATGGGTTTTGAGGGGCTAAAGAACATGGAAATTGCTGCTTTTGATGTTAATGCATATAGTACGGTTAATTTGTGTTTGGATGGGCAGCATGGGTTAAAGAACATGGAAAGTGACGTGGTTAGTGAAATTATGGGTTTAATCAAAGAGTCGAATATTTCCCTAATTAAAGACCAGATTAAAGACTAAATATCCTTAATATTTGGTTAAATTATATGTTATATATATTATACAATATTAAAATTTATAAATTAGTCTCTAAAATTACACCTAAATTCATAATGGTCCAAAATTTAATAGATATTTAGTTGGGCGGGCGGATGCGGGGCGGGTAATGTCTCAAACCCATTACCCGCCCACCACCCACGACATGTACTACTTTATAAATCCACACCCGCCCACTACCCGCTAAAATTATACACATCCCTGCTCCAATTGGAGCGGATGCGGTGCGGAATCCACGAAATTGTACCCGTTTGCCATCCCTATGTAAAAAGGGTAATATTTATTTGAGTAAACTACTCAGTTGACCACTTAATTATTTAGCCATTTTACTTTTACTATGATGTTTCAATTTTGTCAATCACACCACGTAACTATTTAATTTTTTCAATCAAGCCACTAGACGTTAACGGTTGACGGAAATGATGATGTGGCAGTTAAAAAGAATTGACATAATTATAGTTATGTGGCTTGATTGAAACAATTAAATAGTTATGTGGTCAATTGAGTAGTTGCTTTTAACTGCCATGCTATCACTTCTGTCAACTTTAACGACTAGTGACTTGATTGAAACAATTAAATAGTTATGTGGTGTGATTGACAAAACTGAAAGATCGATGAGAAAAGTAAAAGGGTTAAGTAGTTAAGTGGTCAAATGAGCAGTTTACCCTATTTATTTGGATAAAGTACATAAATGGTCCCGACTATAGGGTATTATTTTATTGAGTCATCCGACTATTAAAAGTTACAAAATAGTCTCTTAACTTTAAGGTGTTGCTTTTTAAGTCCTATGACTATTAAAAATTATACAATGGTCATTCGACTATTCATTATGTTCCAAACCCGTTCTTTTCCCTTAAAACAATTGATGACATTTTGAGTTGGACGTAAACTACTAATTTAAATATGAACCCAGAATCTCAAATGACTATCATATCCCACTCAGTAGATTAACGTCCACTTAAAACTTTCATCAATTTTTTAACGGAAAATGAAGAGTTTGGAACACAATGAATAGTCAGGGACTTAAAAAAGCAACATCATATAGCCAAGAGGTCATTTTGTAACTTTTAGTAGTCAGAAAAACTTAATAAAACAACATTCTATAGTCGAGGGGTCATTTGTGTACTTTACCCCATTTATTTTAAAAAATTAATTATTAGAAATATACATATATTTTACCCTTGTAAAAATAATTACCTGAATCTAACATTTAAAAAAATCATTAACATTCACTTTTCCCCACTAAAATCAATAGATAAGTCCGAATCATTAAAGGTAGTTTTGTCGTATGGCAGCTTAATATACGACTAAAGAAAGACACTACAAGAAATATTATTTTTTTAATATTTTCGGTTAAATGCTACCTAAAATGTTATTTATTTTACCGAAAATGTTAATTTCACTATCTAAATTTCGGTAAAAAAAATAATATTTTACTAAAAATATTAAAAAATAATAATATTTTCGATAACATATTTTTCTTAATCGTATATTAAGATGCAGTATCTTATACTTTCCCATCGTTAAGGGGTTTACATGGAAAGGGGGTCAAATTGTGGATTCTTTTACCTTTTGGTATATGGATTCTGTCTGGTACTTGCTTTTAGGAGGCGTCTAAAAAGTGAAACACCGACACCCATTTTAGGAGAAAGGATGCCCCAGTACTATGAAATCATTTAATACAGGCATATTTACAGCTAATGGTCTCACCCACTTTCTTTATCGACGTTTTCACTTCACCAACTATAATAAATTGCTGCCTCATGCTTGATAAAGTTTAATGTGTAAAATTAGTACCCACAATTTATTTGTATGTTCACTTTAGTTTTTACCTTTTTAAAAATTTATTTTTTAATGATTTAATTTTTAATTAAGATGACTCATGTTAGATGAAAACCATCAATTAATTAACAATCAACGTACATTGCTGACGTATCATTTTTATATGTATTTAATTGTTTTTGGGTTAAACGACATATCATTAACTTAGGTGACATGTCACGTATCAAATTATCACCCTGGGTGTCATGGCACATGCCACATCGTCATCATCAATGTCGTGACACATGTCATTCCATTAGTTTAGCACATAATAGAAATATCATGTCATTTTGATAAAAAAAAAAAGTAAACGTGAAGAGTTAAAGTACTCCAAAAAATAATATTTATTAAAATATTTAATATGTACAAAAAGAATATTATTTCCTATAGTATTATGAATTATGATACAAGAGTCGATCAATGAAAATTCACATACACTATAACAATACACAAAATATTTTTTAAAATTTCAAACTCTAATTTCGTTTAACGATTATAAAGTCGCAAATTTTCAAAATTGTGCAATTAATAATGCAATCTCGGATCACTCGAGGCATGACAATAGGCTTTTGAGTAAATTGATTTGGTTAGTTGATAAGTGAGCTCTCTCTTGTCATAAGAAAATACGAATGTTTGTCAGTTTTGGTTAAAGTATGTAATAAAATACGCCATAAAACATGTTTTTTTTCCGTTTCCTAGAGCTTTATCTTGAGTCACCTAATAAAGATTTTTCGTATATAAAAACTTGAACTCGAGATTTAATATTTTAATTAATAGTCCTCGAGGCATTAATTGCTTATTAGTTTAAAGATGTTGTTAGTATGAACTAATTATAATTCAGTACCTAAATTCATGTGAGTTGGTGAAGAGTTTGTTGAGATAATTTGACAAAGTTACGCAAGTAGATGACCGACTATGACATGAATTCAATGGGATTATATGACACATGACGGTTTTTCTCTACAAACTTTTATTTTCAAACCTTACTTCATTAGATAAAGAGTCACATGTGACATGACTATAAATTTTAAGAGTTATCGTACATGAATGCCAGTGAGACCTATTCATGTACGATCTTTGTGCCCTAATGATAATTTTGTTCTAAAAAGAAATAAACTTTACGTTTAATTCTTGAAAAAATGATAAAGAAAGTTACAAATGAAGATATTTAATAATATCTTTAATCGTTTTCCATGATGAATTCAATAAAAAGACCTTGTAGATCCCTCATAATTACAAATTTAATAAATTAATCCTTATTATAAAATATTTTAGAGATTTCATTTTAAAAAGTAGCACAGAGCGTGTACATCTTTTGGGACGAGCCTACCAATAATCACCCTCAATTTCTAAGATATCCATGTTTTTCTTTCTGATGTGTCTCTTCAAAGCGAAACGTTTTTCTCACTCATTTTCGTCACGATTCGTTTTGATATCAGATATCATTGGTCGTTACTTTTTTTTTTCCAAAAAAAAAATCTGATAAGATATACAACATCACCTCTTATAAATTCTAGAAATTTCTTTTTCTTTTTTAATGTGGAATTAATGTCTCTTACATTTTTAAGGCACTACATAACATCACGTAAAGGAGTTTAAATAAGAAAGACGAATGTATACATCGAAGTGTAAACAAATCAAAGGATGACACTAATTTGTTGTTTTCCCTTGATATCAAACTTCAACATTTTCATGAGAATCCTAAGAAAAATTGGCATTAACATTAATGTTTTCATTTTCTTTGCTTTCTCGCTTCTTTCGTGTCATTCTATTTTTGCTTGTTTAGGCACTTGACACTGGCCTTAACCCTTGCTTCATAGCTGCTTCCCACACAAGATCGATCCTATCGACATCAATCGCCCCGACTTCGTGATGGGTCCAGCCTTCTAGCTGATGAACCACGCCTCCTGCATGGCATGCATGCACCACTCCTCTTTCCATCGTGTACTGTCAGTAATCATGTTTCATACAAAATGGATTAAATGAGTTTGGTTTTGGTCGCATCCTATTACATAGGAAGATATACTGTAACATAAAATCTTGTATCTGTCTTTAATTGTATGTCTGATTAAAAAGAGTAGATGATTAAAGAGAAGGTGGGTCACCCCACAGCTTCCAAGCCCTTGAACATCATGGGGCAATCTCATGGCGGCCAGGTCACCATAGGTGCAGTCTCTTCTGAATGCCAAAATGGGTGGCACCACAAATTGATGAAAATGCGTACCCGATGGAGCCCAGCTTTGTTCCCTCGGAGTTATCCACTTCCCCACGATCAATGTCTATTACATAAACAACAATAATACTATTATATAGTCGATTTGATCCTTATTCTTAATCTTAAAATATTTTGACCCTAATGTTTCATCTTAAACAACAACAAAATCTTAATGTGTGATTAAATATATTTATTTTGACTTTTATTCTTTTTATTTTATGATAAAAAAATTCCTATTTTGAAACGTTAATGTTTCATTGACTAAACGATTTTCATCTACGGAGGGTAGGAGACTTTGGGGTCAAATTGCTTTAATAAAATTATAGATCAAAGTGACTACCTAATCAAAACGTTACGGTGTTTCAATGAGTTAAATTTCACAAAGTTAATGAGTTGAGATTGGCGTTTGCATATCATACCTTGCAATCCTGAGCAGCCTGGTACTTGGTCACCTGGACAAGGTACCTCTGGCAATCCACCGGCGCTTCTCTTTGTATTTTCTGGAACCTATCGGTCAACTTCTGCACAATCATGTCCAAATCCATAAGCAATCGATTTCCATTAGCTCCGCCAGAAATATAGGATGCAACGTGGTTAGAAGACTCACAAGAACACGAACTCGCCTCCGACAAAGGTAAAGGGCAATGGCTCTGCCGAGCTTGGAAGTGGCTCCTGTTAAAAACACTTGGTCCACATGCTTCGGAATCTCGTTCAGAATCACAGCAGCCGTCAAGGTATTCCCATGGACGACTCTCACTTTAAGATCCGGATGCTTCTCGACGAAGAGTGTTCCTCCTCCATTAAGAGCTTCATTCTGCACGCATCACCGGCATTGTTTTGAATTGAATGTTTTAGAATTCCAGCAGGAACATGTGTTGAGAAATTAAGTAGCCAAGGGAAAGGCCCACAAGGGTTCTTAATGGAGGACATGGGTTTGATTTATTTCTCCCAACCACCAGTATAAATTTGACATATTCTTCGTTTTTCCAACAAAAATAGTGGGTAAATTATAAATTTACTTATTAAATTATCTATTTGCTCATATTTTGGTCCCTAGACGATATCTCTAGTCATTTTTTCTTTTAAAAATTATGAAATGTCCCCATAAGTTTTTCATTTTTTTGTGAAACCCCATAGTTTTGAATTAGTTTTGGTTTCTTGATGATAGAAGAAGGAAAGCGAACTATATATCTTGATCTTGCATTGATCAAATGGTGGATATTATAGATTAGAATGATTTATGATTTCATAAGTTTTGGGTTTAAGGTTGAATTTTATGAGTTTAAAAGATTTAGATAAAATCTAAATTGATAGAGTTATTGAATACAACGAGACGAGTTTTTCGGTATCTAGAGTGATCGGAGAAGACTCTTTAGAATGATACTTATATCATCGGTGTGAAACGGGGATGAAATTGTAAAATTTTCATCTTTGAAAGAAGAAGATAAAAGTGAAAAAAGGAAAATGATGTGGAAAACACATGAATTTCATGTCAATAAAAAATAGCCTATGTCAATAAAAAATAGCCCATATCAACATATGTGGTTGTCATGTCACCATTCTACTTATAATTTAACATCCAAATGATTAGAATATGAATAAATTGAAAGTTTAACGAGTAAATTAAATTTTTTAAATTTGAATGACCAAAATAAGAGAAAAAAATTGAGTGCTGAATTTTGCAATTTATCCTAAATTAGAGGATGATTTAGTAAAAGAGAGAAGTATACATATTTAAATAAAGAAAAATACAGACCTTATTTAATGCAGCAAGGCTGATGACCTTCACCCCTATCCTATCAGCCCTTAGAATGACCTTCTCTATGTGCTTGTTGATACCTTCCTTTGCAAACGGCAAGAAATACTGCAAAAAAATGGTTATGCCCTAGGTCATTTAATCGCCTGTCCCATATATTAAAGTTCGGCCAAATTCCTTTTAATTTCAAACACAAACTCGAACCTGAAAGCCGACTCTAGAAACTACCTACGTCGGGTGCAAATGGCCTCTAAGATTGTAGAAGAAGACGAGGAAGCCCTTAGACCAACCCCACATCGCTAGCATGATCACGAATGCGAGATACCAAAGAGGCAATAGAACGATTCTCGTCGTGAACGGTAAGGCCGAGAACGATTGGAAGACGAACGGGGCATGCATCGCCGATGTTATGTCGACGCCGTGTGCTAGGATCACGAAATCCGGTACCCTACCGTTCTTTGCTGAATCCGAACTGATTTTCTTGAGTAGCTGCCATGAATTGCGGTTGAGTGTATTCCCCATGGCATCAAACAATGGCATGAATGGTCCCCATCTCGGTGTGGTGCAAGCTATGGTACCTGACAAAATTAATATGAAAGATTTAATACATGTATAGAATTCATCGAGTGATATTAATGGTAAATAAGTGTTATTTTCTTTAAAAAGATTGGGTCTTGCAATTGTGATTATAAGGTATATATTCGTTATCAATAATTAAAAAAAAATTGAACCAAATAAATACACCCAACAAAACTTATTGATTGATTTTAGTGGTAAAATAGATTTTTATTCTCCTTAAAGAACTCAAATTTCAACAACTGTATCTACAGAGTATGTGTTCGTTGTTCGTTATTAAAAAGATTATGGATAAATAATAACTCAGACTACCAAAAAAAATATATCCAACGAAACTCGTTGAGTGATCTCAGTAATAAAATATATTGTTATTTTCCTTAGTGAACTCGAATTCAAACAACTGTCTTCAGTGTATGTATTCATTGTTAATGATTAAAGAAGATTCTGAACATATATTACTTTATAATCACCGCATACTATTAAAAAACCATCCGTAATGTAATTAACTCCATTGGAACTAAACTTACTCCCAAGAGGAAAACTCCAAAATGAGCTTTCCATTTCAATCAATTGGAACTTGCAAGTTCTATCAAACTTCATCTCTATCTGTCACTCATAAATTCTTCTTTCACAAAACGTGGGCTAAAACACAGGACTTAAATGAACATCTCTAATTTCCAGGTCTAAAAATGGAGTTGTGTGCTATCTAGGAGATAAGAAGCAAGAACAGGAAAGAAACCAGTAGGCAAAGCAAAGTTCACATGAATTGCATGGGTCATCGCTTACGTTGGGGTATAGAGCAAGTATCTGAGGAGAGGCAATTTGTTGAACATTTCATGTGGAACAACTTCAACATTGGAATGCCCCAAGCATCTCAGGAAGTCAAACACCGAAATGTAGCCGTAGATCATCGTTATCGATCCGTACCCCATCAGAATCGATCCCGCCCGATCACGGTACATAGTATAAGGTGTTCTAAAAACGTTCCATGACCAGCTGCACCACCAGAAGTTTCGAAACTCAGTATACACACGCATGATATCAAATAAAAATGTGGTAACTTCAGGTGAGTTGTTTTTACCGGTAAAAGGATGGGGAACAGGAGAAGAATGGTGAAGTGAATGATAATGGGTAAAAAATAGCTTCCATGGAGAAACCTGTGTGCCCAATAATACAAGGGCTCCGACAGGGAAACGTGTAGTAAAAGTAAAGTAATAAACCCCTTCGAGTTCCATAGATGAAGGCCATCCAAGGATGGGAAGATCAAGCAGGCCATGGAAGCTAACAGAGCTTGAAGGATTATGAAATTGTCCCTCAAAATGTTACATTAAAAAAAAGGTTTAATCAAACCATGCAATCATAAACTATCCTATATATTTTCATGATCATATATGTATTAATTTCCAGTCCCATTCTCGGTCAATCTGGTTGAAATCAACTCCTTGCTGAAGAATTCGCCGATTCCGAGTTAGGAAAAGCATGCTACTGTAAGAACTCCATAGCTGATGGATTAATCCTCTCAAAGCACAGATGAGGAGTACATGAAGGCACCAGGGATCCTTGATGGTACCCTCATAGATCCATGAATGTAAAACTTTTGCTGCTAAAGGACCACATAGCAAGTACTTTGGTACACATAAAGCAAGAGAAGAAACAAAGTATAAGCAAAACAGATAACATCTGTGAACAAAATACCACCAGGATGGGAGATTTTGGTACCTTGAAAACCCCCAAGTTCTCCCATGGCCAAGCTGATAGTGGTACAACCATCTTTTGAGTATATTCTTTTGCTTGATGATGTATGATAATTGTGGAACTTGGGGATGCAGGGCTTATTTATAGGCCCCCAAGAGACAAAAAGTACAGTTGAGTGTCTTAATGAGGTAGACAAGTGTGGAGTAGGTTTTGACCGGAAGTTGCCACCGAGGATCGAAGCGGTCACCAATCATGAAGTACACAAGTGTGGAGTAGGTTGGAACCGGGCAACAGCTGTATTGTTTTCAGCAATAGCAGTGCCTGGTATGGTGGGAGTGGGAGTTAGATATAGGGGGCGCGTCTGCTGAGATCCCAACTTGGTATGCTTGGTACGTTTTAGCACTATTATTACACGCTACGTCCCATGAAACTGTCCCTTATTAATTTTTGAAAAATTAAATTTTTTAGATTTTAACCTTGAGTTTTTTTTTTAAATATTTTAAATAAATAAATTTTATAAAATATATATTTAAAATTATTTGATTGAAGGTTTTTAAAATATATTTTTACATGTTTTTATCAACTATAAATTTTAAATAATAATTAGTCAAAATTTAAAAAAAAATATTAATAAAAAAATCAATAATGGAAAGTTTTTATGGGACAGAGGAAGTATTATTTTTTAAAAAATGGTCCCTTTAAAGATTATAACTTTGGTAAAATACACAAACAATATTCCTACTATAAAACACTACTTTGTTTAATCTCTTAATTATTAAAAGTTATAAAATATTTATCGATTATAGGTTCTGCTTTATTGAGTCTCATGCGACTATTAAAACTTACAAAATAGTCACTCAATAATTTATATGTTTCAAACTTGTCATTTTCTCTTAAAAACTCAACGATTGTCTCAGTTGGAAGTTAACTTACTCACTGAGATATGATAAAATTTGACCCCATAATAGTTAAGAATAATCAATTAAATGCGGAAGCATACCTTAATCTATTGATATGTTGAAATTTTTAGCTCATGTAATTTTATCTTTTTCAAGAAGATATATGTTACGTTGTTATAAAAGTCTCTAATTTAAAGTCTTTATAATTCTGCCTTCTGAGGGGATGTCTAAGGAAAGACAACCTTATATAAGGTTAAGGAAATACGCTACCGTAAATCTTAATATTTTCTTTAACATTTCCGGTAGAGTGCTACCTAAAATGTTATTTTTCTCCCAGAAATATTAATACCAGACGCTACCTAAAATGCTATGTTTTCTACCGGAAATGTTAATATCGGAAATATTCATTTTAGGTAGCGAAATTAACATTTTTGGTAGAAAAAAATAACATTTTAGGTAACACTCTACCAGAATTTTTTTAAAAAAATTAACATTTCCGGTAGCGTCTTTCCTTAGCCTTATATTAGGTTTTCGTACAATAAAATTACCCGCCTACTGAGAGGATGGGAAAGTCAAAAAATCTGACTCGAGATCCCTTGCTAATACAAATACTCTTGAATACTATTAATCATTTATGCTTATTGATGGAAAAATTGTAATGTTAAAGGTTATTAATAGTTTATTTCTTTTGATTTGGACGAAAAATTATGATAGATTATTTTTGTGAAATATGTGGAGTGTAGGTGATATGAGAAAGATGATGAACAATGAGATAATATAACAGAGAAAACTTGTTAGTCATTTTAACCTTAAATGATGACTTTATATTATGGACATTAATATTGACGTTAGATCTAAAGTCATTATGAAATATAACTCTTCAATAATAAATTTTGCTCGAACAAGTCACATGGACTTGTCATTAATCATGTCAAGAGATTATGATTAGTCGAATGATACGAAACTATATAAACTTTCAAGAACTCCAAAAACTTTAACTAGTAAAAATTTCGATTGTTAGAGTTTGATTCGAATTCAAAATGACATAAATTAATTAATATTTAAATTTGAGAAGGTAAGAATCCTAATTTGATTAAAAGTAGATAACTTTATTAAATTATATTTCTACTTTATTTAGTTTTCCTTGTAATCAAGTATATATTCCTATAAATCTTGTCAACGTAAAATTTTCTACAAATAATTTAGCATGATTATGTTAGTTTTCCTTATAATCAAGTATATATCCCTATAAATATTTTCAACGTAAAATTTTCTACAAGGAAAATATAAGAGTGTCGCTAATCATGTAAAGAGATTATGATTAGTCGAATGATTCGAAATTATATAAACTTTCAAGAACTCTGAACATTTAAACTAGTAAAAATCTCTACAAATAATTTAGCAAAAAAATAACAATAAAAAATATAAAAGAAGTGTAATAATATTTAACTTTTGATTATCAAATCTTGAATACTACCTAACAAGAAGGGATGGACCTAGGGGAAGCGGGCGGGGGCAAGGCTCTAAAAATCTAAAATTATCATATATTTTAGATTTTTTTCTATGTATTTTTTATCGAAAATCTATTTTCGTCCCCATAAAATTTTATAAGTTCAAGTTTACTCCCCTAACTCAAAATTATGCATCTGTCCCTGCTAACAAGGACACATATTTTCCTAATAGCACCTTCCTTTATACATTTGAGCTATCTTACTATTTCAGTTACTGAGAAATGAATATGATAATACTATAGTAGAATTGATTGCGGAGAATTAACATCAAATCTTAGTGTTTATAGTGTGCACTAAATAATGTCTTGAAGAATATTTACAGTTAGGGATGGATCGAGACGAAGTAGGGGGAAACAGTCATCTCAGTAAAATTTTCAAATTCTTATATGGTTGATATTTTATTTATATTTTCAATTAAAATTTTATTATTATTCCTTTAAAATTTAATAAATTTGTTCTCTTTTAAAATTTTATAGATTCGACTCTCTCCATCTATCCGTTTATAGTGAAAAATAATTTCTAAAATTTAAGAAACATATATTGCTTTAAATGGTGGGTTTATTCATTAAGAAAATCTACTATATAATTTTCTGTAATGGATCCATCTTTAGTTTGGGGTGGGCACATGTCCACTCTAATATTCGAATTTTCTTCGATTAATTATTTATTTTATCGATTATGTTCATGTTGTACGAAAATTTCTAGATCGGCCACGGATAACTTTATTATCAAAATGTCCAAATCTTATTTATAATATTATGGGAAAGCCTAGTAGGTTTGAACGATCCAACATAATAAAGTAAGCGTTAAGTAGCATAAGGACTAAGGAGGGAATGGTTGTCTCACGAACTGCAGCTGATTTTGCCTTCCCCCGACCGACGCTTGCTAAGCTGGGCCACTCACCAAGTCGGCTACTTGTTTCCTAGATTTCTTCGAAGTTCAAAGTTGCAAGAATTTGGACCAAAACTCCCATTGATGCAACCACCAATGGTTTCTCATAAGTACGCAACCAATTGGGGGTGGCCAGAGATAATGTCGATTATGGTCCGGGATGAGCACGTAATTCGAATCCAATAAGTTTCGACCCGATTCGATTCGATCGAGTTGGATCTTTTCAAAAAAAAAAGTGAGTTCTGATTTAGGATGAAAAATACCCAACCTAATTCGAACAATAATATAAATTTATCTTATGTATTTATGGATAATTACAATAATAACCATCTATATATTGTTTTTTCAATTAGATCTATGTTTTTATTGAATAAATATAATATTATTTTATAAATATATTTATTTCGGGTCAGGTTTGGGGAGGTTTCAGGTTTTATCTAAAAAAGACAGGTCGGGTTCGGGTCAATGAAATCACCCCTAAATTCGAATCGAATCAGGTTTCGAGAATAAGATATATATTTTCGAATTAAATCAGATTGACTAAAAATCCAACCAGACGCATGCCTATCCCTAATTATGGTAAATCTATTCCAATTCAGTCAAAGCATTTATAGAAAATCAAAATTCCACTCTTTGCCCTACGAGGAATGTTGAATTAGGACATGATAAAACATTGTTGTATCAGATGTATCTGATCTGTTCCGTAAACTACATTCTTACCGGTAGTCTTTCATATATTCAAATATCCAGATTTATAGACACTTGACGTGATTGTTTGTTAATTCCACCGACTAAAGTTTTTATATAATGATCAGATACCAACCTATTTGGTCACCTATCTATTGTTTAGTTTATGTTTTAGTCAATCAATCATTGTTCCTTTCAAAATCATACCTAACATTACACTTTAGTTCAATTTCGGTCACTGCTAAAAATTAACAGTGATGTTGATGTATCACTATAAGATAATGTCATATCACCATTGAAAAATAATAAGAAAAAACCACGTTAGTATCATTGTCAAACCAAAATGTAACGTTGTGTATGATTTTAAAATAATAGTAATAATAATTTTGTGACCAAATTAAAAAATAAGTAATATATATGTGATCAAATAATTAATTTACCTATATAAATTGTCATGCAATGCTGAAAGAGGACTCTCTCTCTCTTACATTCGAATTCTATCCCCAATACTAAGAATATTTTTCATTATTTTTCCCGTTTGTTTCTGTATCTACATTTACATACGACTCTTTACCTAAACCAAAAGATACAACCTACATTTTACCTTCAATAAATAAATATGTTTGCATAAACCAAACGATTATTGTGATTAAATGAACGATTGTTATTTTTAGAGATTTTGAGTCCGAACACCAATAATTATAGAATATTTAAGTGTTTATTATTAAATAATTGAGAATATTTATAACATGTACTATCACTTATAATCATCGCTTGTTTCAGCCACCACTTTGCTTTGCATTAGATGACGGTGGCTGAGGTAATGTCGATATTAGCAAAAATTTTCCAATTTAGCTTCTCTCTCATATTAAATATGAACACGAACAAAAGTATACTAAATATGTATATGATCACAAAAAAACTAGTTCATAGGCTCATTTACTCAATTATCCCTTTTTTTCATTTTAAATATCGGTGAAGATAAAGACTAAACTGAATACAAAGTAAAATTTGGAATTCAAACTATGAAACTCAAGGACTAATGGTGTAACTTCATCATTTTTTTGGCTTGCAGATAAAAAGA